AGAGGGGGTGTTACGGGTCATAGATTATGGTTTTAGTCCATTTCTCGCATGTATTCAGATGCTTATCCACTAATGTAGTGACGAGCTGACTGAGTTTTACACCGCTAGTCCTACTAACTACCTTCAACATCCTTCTCAGAATGGTACAGTCCTTTTTCATTAACCCAGGAAAGACTAACGGGGAGCAGTAAAGTAGAATAGGTAGGATACGAGAGTTGATAAATTGTGAAGGCAGAGGTTGAGGGACTCCAGTTAGTCTGATTTTCTTAATGTAGTAGGTTAGACGAAACACTTTCTTGGAAATCATTTGGATATGAGGTGACCAAGTAAGGTCGGAAGATAGAACTAATCCAAGGTATTTTGCATTAGACTTTGTTTCAGTTATAGTCCCCTCAATGCTACAGGTATCATGAGTGCTTACTAGTGTTTGTAGATCTCCTTTATGCCTAAAGGAGAAGTCGATAGTCTGGCATTTTGAGGGATTAAGCGTGAGGCCATTTAGTTTAGACCACTAACTAATTAACTAACTCATGAGATATAACGAGACAGATTGTGAGAGTTATCTCGGGTAAGTGGAGAAATTATTGTAAGATAACTATTTTTTCAGTTAGACAAGAACTAAATGAAAAAATACGATTATCATTTGTTGACATTTTGCCTATTTTTATCCACGTTTTAGCGTTTCATTATACCTGGACTATAGATCATTCTGACAGACTGACTTTCAACATAGAAGCTTGCACACAAATGCACCCGCTTAAATTAGCACATTCCATGTAGCACACAAAAGTAAAGGAAAAAAGAAATTGAATGGAATTCTAATGAGCATAAATGTAATGAAAAACGAACAGTCATAAGTAAAAAATATAAGGGTTGCTCAGATAAGTGAGATTGCACAGAGTCAATGCATCTGTGTCATTAACAACGTTTGGAATCACATTTCTACTTAACACTAGGCTTAACCCCAATATTACTCACCATAGGAGACTACTTAACACAGAAGAAAGGGTACAGACACTGCGATCAAAAACCAGTAGTCTTTTCATATCTTCCAGTTTCAACGGTCACTTCTCGCAGCCTAAGTGGACAATACCATCAGCATACACTAAGTTGACAAGACTGTTCCCTGATAAGTCCCTAAAGTGAGTGACAGACAGTTCAGTTAATACATGTATGATGAATGTGAACTAAAATAAGGAGGACAGTTGTAGAAATGAGCCTTGTATTATATCCTTCTTGGAAATATCAGTTCCCTCATAGTTTAGTTCCAGTATTAAGTGAATGGAATGCAGTCTACAGATTCATGAAATTCACATACTGACCTACTTTTTTTCCAGAATCCTAGTTGATATCTCCTCAGCAAAGTGAGAAATGGGCATCGTACTTGTGTAAACTCAATAGGCTGTGAACTGCTGCCAATGAAAACGACAACGATTTTTGGAATTACGTAATTCCAAAAACGATCATATAATTTTTTATACTGACTTCGGTTCCATCAGATGAAATTAAAGGGAAGAGCTGAAAATAGAGGGGATGTTTAGGGTTAGACAGTATAGATTTAGACCATTTATGAATTTTTTTTTTTTTCAAATTAAGCTTTTTAAATGGGGAAAAAAAATTAAAGGTAAAACAATAAATGAAAATATTTTTTTAATAAAAGTGTATTGTTCAATAAATAAAAATTATTACTGGACTGGCCTTCAATTTCCGTTCTACCAACAGTTGTGGTCTTTTAGACGAGCTAGGGTGGACATGTTAAAGTGTCTTTCTAGGCTCCGTTTGAACCCATCAGGGTTTTCACAACATCTTATTTCAGGTGGTAGTTGGTTCCAAAGAGTGCAATATTTTATGGTGAAAAAGTTTGCCCTAATGGATTTTCTGTGGGTAGCCACCTTGACAAGGTAGTCGTGGTTTCGCAGCTGAGTTTAGATGTCTTTCAACTAATGCATTAACGAGCTGACTGAATGGTACACCACTTGCCCTACTGAAAACCTTAATACCCTGCACAATACGACATAGTCGTTTTTGAGTAATTCAGGGAAGAATAAGGGGGAGCAGTAAAGACCAATGCGACAGTTAACAAATTTTAAAAAGAGGTTGAATGATTCCTGACTGTCTTGACTACATTACGTGGTAAGCTAGACTGAGGGTTTTCTTAGAAATCGACAAGATATAATTGACCAAGAAAGACCAGAGGATAGAACTACTCCAAGGTATTTTATGGTAGAATTAGTTTCTGTTTCAGTGCCCTCATTGATACAAGCATCTTGTGAACGACATAGTTCTTGTAGTTCACGCTTATGAGTGAAGGGAAAGTTAACTGCCTGACATTTAGAGGGATTTAGCGTAAGACCATGTACCTTAAACTACAGATAGGAAACAGTTAAGTTTTCTGCAGTCACATTGTAACATGACAGGAAGTGAGACGGTCAGATCACCAGCGTATTTGACGAAGTTGCAGTCATTAGAAAGAGAAAGGTCATGTAAGACGAGAGAGAGAATAAAGAAAAGGAGAGATAAAAATACCCTGAGGAATACCAGCTTCAGCAAGCGAAGCGGAAGATTTACCCTAATATACAGTACGCTGCATTCCATTTGAGAAATGATAATGCGACCAATCAACTACCCAGGGCCCATGTTTGCACGACCGAAACCTTATTCAACTGAAGTAATCTAGGTTCTGAGTCAGTAACAACGGCATATGCTGACTTAAAGCTCAGCACAAAAGTGGCAAAGCACAGAAACCACTTGCAAAGTAGGAGACGAGACCCGGGTGGAAGAAGAGATTACTGAAAGGTATCTATTTTTCATTTAGCAAAGAACAAGATTAAGAACTACACTTATCATTTGTTGAAATTTCGGAGATCATTTATCAATGTTTCGCATTTAGTTATGCCTAGACTGCTTCATTCTGACTAGCTTTCAGTATGAGTTTCCAGAGAAGTCCACATGTTTAATTTACCACATTCCATGTAGCATGTAAGGGTAGAGACATAAAATTAAATGGAAATTTAACGGGCGAAAATGCGAGGGAGAATTATTAGTGACGAGGAAAAACATGAGTTGAATAGATACGTGAGACTACACAGAGTGAATGCATCTGTGCCAGTAACAAAGATTTGCAATCATATCTATAGCAGTTCTAGCGATCGCTTGGTATGCCAACACGTGTTCTAGCCATCTCAACCTATTCAGCTTCCCCACCTTGAAGACTAACTTACCCTCGCTACCTTAACATTTATGCGTAACCTCAACAGCACTCGCCATATTATACAGCTTTACTCATGGGATAGAACACAGACACCAATAATCAAACATCTGTATTCTTTTCATATTTTCCAGCATCAGAGGTTACTTCTTATAGCCTAGGTGGGTATTATCATCAGCAAACTGTGAGTTGATGAGACTATTCCCTGATGTCTCTAAAGTCATTTACAGACTATCCTACTAATATATGTGTGACTGAATTGAACTTTTATCAGGATGACAGCTTAAGAATTCAGCCTTGTGTAACATCCCACTCGGAAATGTGTTTTCTCGGAAAATTCGCAAACAGTAATCACTGAATAGAAAACATACTGTAGGCTTACTGAAACTCATAAACTGACGCACTACTTTTGCAGGCAATGTAGCGTTTCCTCGATAAAGTGAGAATTGAATATTTCGGCTGCATAAAACGAGTAAGTGGTATCCCGGCAATATCAATGACTACAACAAGCCTAGGAGTTATGCTCTACAAATTTTACTTTACTGAATACTCCATCAGACTTTACATAAACACTCGACAGATATCAAATTTATACAGAAAGTCGGTAGGATTTAGTAAACTAAAAGTAATTTCGGTTTCCATAGGAATTCTCCGTGCCGAATTTATTCCTTTAAGGGCCTACAGAGATTAAGGCTTCAATTAAATAACACTGACGCGGAATAAATTCCATTCTTCATTACTAAACTGAATGAAAAGAATCATGTTTTTATTCTAAAAACAGAGGCATTCGTAATGTTTTCCTTTATGTAAATGAAGTTACATACAGTTGCAATAAGAACTCAGTGCAACTCGATGCACAATAGTATATATATATATATAAACTGAAAATTAATGTCCTCCTTACCTTATGAACAACCTGTTTTTATTCCAGGATAATAACTTTCGTTCACCTATGAACCTGAGTTATGTATATGAAATCGCAATATCACATCAGTTAAATTTTCCCCCCAAACCAAGGCCACTTGAAACCAATAGCAAAATAGCAACAAGCGTCATTGAGGAGATATGCGATAAAGTCGCTCTATCTGACAAGTGCAGTTTTGGCTTGAACAAAGATTTATGTTATAAAAATAAAGAGGTGGAAAAAAATTCCAGAAACTGTACAAGAAGTTCATAATGCTTAACGCTCTGAATGGAATATGTCAATGGAGTTGAAGATTGAACGATCAATTCATGGTTGTTTGCTCAAAACCAACTTCCCCAATTTTCGCGGAGGCATCAATACGACAGTCATCGTCTCATCGGTCGCTGTTCAGGAAGAAGTCAGTAGCAAACCATCAGAAGTAATCTTATGATTTATTATTGTAATATTTGTTCACAGACCTTAATAGAAATATTTTTTATATGTTGGTGTTGCAATAAAGAATTCCCAAGCGGCCAATCGGTGTTTTGGTTTTCGCGTCCGTTACTATTAAGCGTTTCTGAAAAACTGCAAGGAACAACGTGGGCCCGAGCGTAGCAAGAGCTGGGCATTGACGGTTTATGAGACGTGACTGACAGTTTCTGATGGTAGAAACAGACTTTGGCGGATTCAGACAGTTGGTGAAAGTTTGGATAGTCACCGTTCATCTTCCCTGGTGCCGGTAAAGTCCTCTTTGAACAAGCAATATCTGGAACTTTTCTCGAATTGGGTCAAGTTCAACAATGCCTGGGTCAAAGAAGGGACAGAGTGTCTTAATATCATCTCGTGCCTGCAAAAATTCAGGAGCAGATGCCAAAGCAGATGAGCTACATCCTGGCCAATTGTCAACCACCGGTGGTGTCATAAGATTTCGCAATGCGTCAAGCAGTTTGAGACTACTTTCTGATGAAGATTTTACCACAGCTGAACGTACTGTCGGTATATCCAGAGAATAAAGAAAACGTTGCAAGCACAATTGGACACTCATATGTGTAAGTGTATGCCTTTCATGTTCCGCCTCAATCTGGGACATCAGTTTTTCACTCATCGCTTCCATGTTTGAAATGAGACCTTTGCCTTGATTCACTACTTCCTGCACAAACGAAATGTTTTGTACAACGACGTCATAACTCTCCACGGCTTTCTTTTGTTCTTCCTTCAGCGATTCACCTTTTTGTAGTTTCTCACGATATCCATCGAATTTGCTCTTCCGTTTTACTAGATTATTTTGCCTACGCATAAGATATTTTTTTTTTTTAATTTATTTTCATATAAACATAAATTTACATGAAATGCATGCCATTTTTACAGGCACGATCAAGGATGATATAATGTCAAATCTTAAATTGTCTACAAGTTAATAATGTTTCAACAGTTAAATATTTGATATATATATAAATACACATTGTCTGAACTAGGCTGTATAGTTATTGAATTGTACAATTGTCCTCCAGGTTGAGCGGGAAAATCGACTTCGTTTCGTTTTCATCCCGTGGTTGTAGGCATACGATAATCAACCAATATTGAGGTAAGTACAACGTTTACAAGGAATTGGAAGCTGTTTTAGAAAAATTAAAGTGCTGTGGTGTAACATTAAAGTGTAATAGATTAAGTGAGTGAAATATATCATTAACAAACAGATTTATATAGAAAACAGAATGGGGAAGTAATTAATCCTTAGGCCGACAACGTTCATTTGCAATGTATAATGAAACCAATATATTTTATACTATCATGCGTTCACTTTTGGCTTTAATACAATTATTTTCAAGCCAGTTGTCTTTATTTCATGTCTTTTTTTCTATTTGGTACACAACCGTACCCTCCAGAGAATAGGAATAGAATAAGTCGAATCAAATTCATAAAGAGCTATAAAATGTTAGGTTTAATGGAATATAATGAGAATCAAGTAAAGACGTTATTAGAAAATAAGTGAGACAAGATATTTTGAAGTGGTATTTAAAGATCTGACAATGGATAGCAAGTTAATTCATAAGATGCCCCATAAATCTGTGCAGATCCCACGTGGTCGCATCATTTGACACGAAACCCCTAACTAGATCACCTGGGGTCTCCGACTCCGGCATCTCTGTCAAAGAAAAGACAGAGGGTCTTGGATGCAAACAGGAAAGTAAGTCATGGTGACTTGTCTGTTAATTGTAACGATGTGTCTGATGTTAAGCATGACATGGTTGATGTTACTGTTTCGCCGTTCAGGATAATAGGAACATCAAACTCCCTAAATTTGAACCACGGTGTTTCGATGGAAACCCAGCTGATTATTTACAATTTGTAAAGGAGTTTGAGGTCATGCTGAGTGGTTTTCTATTAAGTGATGAATTGAAGTTAATGTATTTGATGAGATATTGCACTGGAGATGCTTCAAGAGCTATACAGTGCTGTAAGTTGGTGAAGCCAAAAGAGGGCTACTACGAGGCTATGAGCATATTACGTCAAAGGTTTGGGAGACCTTCGATGATTGCAGGGAAATTATTCGAGGCTGTTAAGGGTAATGGTGGTCAATTACAGGATGACTCCCAGGCACTTACTGAGTTTTTAGATAATTTGCTAATTTACAAGAATGCAATGATTTCGATGAATCGCATGAGTGACCTTAACTCGAGTTTTATACTAGAAGTAATAGCAAGACGTCTACCTACTCGACTGCAAAGGAAGTGGAGGATGAGGGTATCGAGCCAAAATTTGATGATATCCTGAAACTGGTAAATACTAGTGTCAATCAATCTATGAGCAAGTTTGCCAGTATATTGAATCTCACCATGGAGGAGTCTGAAGGAAAAACGCAATCATTGATGACGAGTAGGCCTCAGGGAGGTGGATATCGAGAAGGCTCCATGATGTCCAGTAATGCATATAGACCTAGTGAGTGCAACAGGTTTCGTAGTACATCCTCAACAGATAAGTTACAAGATGCAAGATGTCAATCACGTCTCATAAACCGTTAATGCCCAGCTCTCGCTACGCTCGGGCCCACGCTGTTCCTCGAAGATTTCAGAAACGCTTAGTTATAACGCACGAAAAAACCAAAACACCGATCTGCCGCTTGATATTTCTTTATTGTTACACCAACATATAAAAAGAATAAGCGAACTAAGGTCTGAAAACAAATATTACAATAATAAATCATTGTATTACTTCTGACGATGTTTCACTCTTCTTTCTGAACAGCGACCGATGAGACGATGACTGTCGTATTGATGCCTCCGCGAAAATTGGGGAAGTTGATTTTAAGCAAACAACCAACAATTGATCGTTCAATCTCCAACTGCATTGACACTACCCGGCAAAAGAGGGATCCAACCCTTTTCTCCTTCACGACCAATGCACGTTGACTTGGATGCCATTGCGAGAACCTGGGTCACACGGACAGAGCTGAAATGGAAAACAAACAGAAAAGCCAACACACCACAAGCATACCCACAGCACTATCTCACACATCAATGACGACCTGCGCCTCCAGACAGAGACATCCTCTTGACATCTTGCAACACAGTCGCCACTTACTACTAATAATAATAATGAATAATAATAATTTATTTTCATATAAACATAAATTTACATGAAAATGCATGCCATTTTTACAGGCACGATCAAGGATGATATAATGTCAAATCTTAAATTGTCTACAAGTTAATAATGTTTCAACAGTTAAATATTTGATATATATATAATTACACATTGTCTGAACCAGGCCGTATAGTTATTGAATTGTACAGTTGTCCTCCAGGTTGAGCGGGAAAATCGACTTCGTTTCGTTTTCATCCCGTGGTTGTAGGCATACGATAACCAACCAATATTGAGGTAAGTACAACGTTTACAAGGAATTGGAAGCTGTTTTAGAAAAATTAAAGTGCTGTGGTGTAACATTAAAGTGTAATAGATTAAGTGAGTGAAATATATCATTAATAAACACATTTATATAGAAAACAGAATGGGGAAGTAATTAATCCTTAGGCCGACAACGTTCATTTGCAATGTATAATGAAACCAATATATTTTATACTATCATGATGTCCACTTTTGGCTTTAATACAATTATTTTCAAGCCAGTTGTTTTTATTTCATGTCTTTTTTTCTATTTGGTGCACAACCGTACCCTCCAGAGAATAGGAATAGAATAAGTCGAATCAAATTCATAAAGAGCTATAAAATGTTAGGTTTAATGGAATATAATGAGAATCAAGTAAAGACGTTATTAGAAAATAAGTGAGACAAGATATTGTGAAGTGGTATTTAAAGATCTGACAATGGATAGCAAGTTAATTCATAAGATGCCCCATAAATCTGTGCAGATCCCACGTGGTCGCATCTCAACAATAGGCTGAGCGAATGGTATATATTTAAAGGTAGAAGCATTATCTGTCAAGGCGTTCACTATTATCTTTTTCAAGATAAAGATCTAAGCCCTCATAAAAATCAGAAATATCTCGAGCCTTTAATTTGTATATTGCTGTTCCTGCAGAATGGGGCGATTCACCTTAGTGACCACCACCATATCTACTGATCAGCTAACGCCACCCTCCCTCCTTTTTTGATGTTAGGCTCTGAGACTATGATTATTATGGCTACCGCAAATATATTGCTTGGTACCAGACATGTTCGTACCCCATATTCCATCTCCCTAGCTTTCTTAATGAGTGCTTCCAATAGGTCTCCACGTACATCTTTACGAACATATTATATATGTGTGCATGCATCCTGATGAACAGATTACTTTATAAGAAGTTAAAACCTTAAAGAGTAAAACGAATAGGTATTGTGAATAGTGGAGCAAGATTTAGCAGAATACTATAGTTAAGGTTCAATTTAGGTAGTATGGACTGAAGGTAAGGTCGGTTGGCAGGACTTAGTGTACTAAATTTTCATGACAGTCTTATATATAGTAAACATCTGACATTGCAAAGTAACGTGTCTAGACATATTATAAAAAGATATTAACACAGAACCAACGAAATTTTGGCGTTTTTTAACAATACTGCAGTGTGTGTATACTGAAGAATGGTGGTTAGTCTACAGGGAGCCGTAGAGTAAATCAAACCATATATGATAAGAGTATAATCAATAATATAGTTCGTATATCAAATATTACACTAGGTTCAATAATTGAGTGTTATAAGGGAAACAAGCGTGGTAAAGCAAGAGAACATTTGATGCATAAATATTTTAAGTATTTTAATATCCATCTAATTTAAGAGTTGAACATGCATGATTAATAAGTATTATTATATTAGTATATACATATGTAAAACGTTAAAAGGTGTGGATGCTATTACAATTATTTCCAGTGTTACTTTCACCAACACAACTTAGTGAAAATTATAGAGAATAGAAATCAGTAAATTAGTTAACGTTCGCTGCGTGAGTATTAGAGTCGAGATATACGTATGTGACTATACTGAAGACTGGACTGGCCTTCAATTTCCGTTCTACCAACAGTTGTGGTCTTTTAGACGAGCTAGGGTGGACATGTTAAAGTGTCTTTCTAGGCTCCGTTTGAACCCATCAGGGTTTTCACAACATCTTATTTCAGGTGGTAGTTGGTTCCAAAGAGTGCAATATTTTATGGTGAAAAAGTTTGCCCTAATGGATTTTCTGTGGGTAGCCACCTTGACAAGGTAGTCGTGGTTTCGCAGCTGATATGATTTAATATTTTCCCAAGTTATGGATGAGTTACTGTAGCAGTGTTTCCTAATGACTTTGAAGAGTAGAAATAGGTTGCACTTCACTCTCCTTAACCACAGAGGCTCTAATTTCAGACGTACACACCTGTCAACATATTCCACTTGTTGGTCGAACCCTATTATGCGTTTCGTGAGGAATCTCTGGACACTTTCGATTTTTTTTCTGTCTACAGTCCTGAGGTTACTAAATAGGAGAGCACAATATTCAAGTTTGGGACGGATACATGTCCTATATATAGCTAATCTTGCTTCTTGGGTGTAGAAGTTACGCAGTACAAAGCCAGTAAGTCGTTTACAGTCAGATACAACCTTATTTGCGTGATCGGAAAAGGATAAATCTGAGTATGTTATCCCGAGGTCTGTGACTGTGTTCAGTTTTGAGAGGAGCTTACCGTACATGTATAGGCACATTATCGGTTTCCAGCGTCCAAGGTGGGTTATACCGCACTTGTCTGGGTTGAAAGTCAGTTGCCACTTTTCGCTCCAATCGCCTAGATCATTTAAGTCTTGTTGGATCTTGCTTTCGACGCTCATATCA